AAACCATCTGCCCCTGTACATAGTCAGATTCTTAACTCATACTTTATCACTGTCTTCTTCAGAAATTATACAGGGGGTTTTGTGTGCATTTGTATCCCCTACAGTTCTGTGTACATTTATTTCAGATAAAGCACTTAATTTGGATTCCCTCCCAGTTCAATAGCTGAAAATTTCAGTATAGGAGCCAGCACATGTCAAGAACCATCATTCAGTTCTTCTCTTTATTTTGGGTAGCTTTTTAGTGGTTGTATCCTCTGTTATATAAATCTTTCCTCATAGTCTGTAATCCTTTTCTAACACTGTAAATAAGATAAGCATTGAGTCTTTTTGGATATTGTCAGCCTTCACTTTGAGAGGAACAGCAGTTTCAGTTTTAATTAATTCTTCAGTGAAAGGACGTGTGCTATATTTTGTATATATTTGACTGGTCTCTAAGTGTCGTGCCACAGTCTGTCCGTTCCTCTGTCTGGGCTCACTGCTACCTGAAGTGTAATTACACAGTTGCTGATTGAGGTGGGCCAGAAGCAGAATGAGCTCACATCTGCCCTCAGAAGACTGAACAAACACATCTGAAGGCTGCCTCCCCCAGAGGTCTAAAATACACGTGTGTAACTGACCCTGAAATTCAGTGTTCTTCCTGCAAGAGCCAGGGTTATCTAAACAAAGGGTTCTTAGGAAGTAACCTCTTGACTTCTCCACCCCTCACATTTTTAAGGATTGACAGGTCCTAGCACTTGCACAGACCAGGATAACAAGCCGTGTCCCATAACAATCATTCTCCTGACATGCTTCCCACTGGCACCTACCACCCTTCAGATCAGCAAAAAAAGAGCTTGGCTGCCTGCATAGGCATGTACCCAGTCCTCCCTGACTAAATGGATTACACACTTCTTGACTGAATAGGGTGCCAAGAAGACTTCCAGCCAGCTCGTATTCATGTGGGTTATGAAAGAGTGCTACTCCTGAGTCCAACCTAAGTCCAGTTAAAATATGACAAGGTTCTGCAGACAAGGTGCCAGACTCCACTTCTGATAGGATTTAGGTTTTGTTTCTATTTCATTTTGGAAAAATGCAATGTGAGTATAAGAAAATAAGCAAGAAAGTTCAAAAACTGTCAACAAGAACAGAATTAAATGTGCTGTATGCAGCAGCTTGCTGAGAGGAGTTTGGAATGGAGGAGAGTGGGGAGAGCTGGTGCTGAAGTAAGAAGGGAAAGGATCTTAGGAAGAGACCAGTTGGAAGGATGTGAAACTCATGGAAAAGGAAGTTTGGAAGTAGTGATGATTCAATCCCATTTGTCTCTTTGAGATATGTTCTGGGATTTTGGTAATTCATCTCTAGTTCAGAAGAATGTGAGCCATCAGCTCGCATGTGTACGTGTGCCAATATCTAAGCAGATCTAAAGAGATGCAAATTTAAACTCAGTAGACCAGGAAGCAAAGGAGTGAATAAATGCAAATATGTTCATCTGAATATCAGGTTAAGTATTTCCAGGCAGAGACTAGCTGGGCGGGGAGGGGAGACTGTGGGTTGAGGAAAGGCTGGAGAGTCCAAGGGCTAATCTAACAGGGAGGGTCTGGCCTGGCATACAACTGAGAGCTGGCACAGTAGGAAATATGCATTAGATTGCTACTGTCATATATGTAATGGCATCAGATAGCAAAAAATAGCACAGAAGATTTTTTTTTGGTGCATTTTATTTTATGCACTAATTGTCATCTCAGGCCTGAAGCAGTATCAAGCACATCACTTTGCTTCTTTTGTTCTCTGTTTCTTTACCTCTAAGATGACAATAATTTATTTTCTTTCAAAATGATTTGGAGAACTAGGATGAAAGGTTGGAGGATAAGTGTATCTACTACAATGGTATCCCAGCTGCAAATATATGTGGTTGCTTGAATTTCTTGAAATTGCCAAAATTCACCTTTTTTCTCTGATCAAAGCAAACAAAACCAAAATAAAAAACCAAACAAACAAATGCTCCCCCCCCCCCCCCAAAAAAAAAAAATCAACAAATTTCCCCCCCAGGCAATTCAGTGAGGAGAAGATTCAGTAGCCTTGTTCCCTTCTGATATGACAGTGAGATAGACACCTCTGAGAACCAGGAAATCCAGAGCTAAGGTAGAGCAGTACAACCTGAACTCTGCATTGTTTGATCAGTGATTCAGTCTTCCAGTGACACACATATGCATGACACTGTGACTCCTGAAGCAGAACATCTCAGAGCTGCAGCACTTTAAGTGCTCTTAAAGGAAAACTTTCTTTTAAGTGCTCTTAAAGGAAAACCTGTGTCCAGGTGAGTGCTACTACATGAGGAATCCTGCACATATGCTGCAGTCAAACTCTGAGACCCATCTCCTCAAAACAGCCCCTGATGCAGTAATTCTTTGTGCTCTTTCTCTGTCAACTTCAGCACCTGAATGGTCAGATACAGACAGGCCAAAGGAGTTGTGGATATCATCACTGGTCATGGTCTGAATTGAAAAATGAGGCATCAGGACTTGTCTCCTGACTTGCATGCCTCTCTTCCTTTTGCCCACACAGCTGCCATCTCCATGTCACCAGTGCAAGAGATTTACTTGAAAATTAATGCCAAGAGCCACTGCAAGCTCCAGGTGCAGCCTTAATTCCACACTGGGATCTACCTCAGGTGGGTATTTCCTAGTTTTAAGAGGTTTGAGAGTCACTTGAACTTGCCACAGAATTTGCTGCTGACCTGGAATGCCATGAGGAACCCACAAGGCAAACTTTATATTAACCAGACTCTTTCTCAGCAAATGTAGGTGTTAATTTATTCATGGTTGGCATATTGTGTGTTTAAAATCCTTCTGCAAGGCTTTCTCTGAGAGTAGTGGTAGCTGAACTTTAATGCTAAAGTCACCAGGTTTGCCAGTAGTGACCAGCTCAGACTCTTGCCCAGCCCAGGAAACAGCAAAAATTAAATAAAACTGAGTGATGCACAGTTAAAAACTTTTGCAGCCACAAGGAATACAGATATATTAAAAAACCCAACCCAAAACAAACAAAACACCACCCCTCTCCAGTATTTTTATTGGAGAAGGAGAAAAGAAGTAGGGAAGGGAAGAAGAGAAGGGAAAGGGAAAGGAGAAGAAAAGAAACATTTTATGAGGAACACCTCTTTTTAGCAGAAATGCTTTACTATATTGTCAAATGCAAATTGACTGTAAATCCCAGGCTTCAGCCACTGGGTTTTCACATGTATCCATACTTATTAAAGGTATGTGTGTGCTTCTGTATGTGTATGTATCTTAATCTGTATATTTACTTATGGGCCAAATTTGGTTAAACACTCTGTAAAGAACAAAATGATGGTCCAGAAAGAAAAGAGTGAATGGTTGAACCATCAAGGACAACACATGCAGGCAGATGGAATCCTGGGGGTGGCCAAGAGAACAATGAGTCAGGATTACTCAAGAGGGTAAGCAGTTGCCTTGGTACACCAGCAGTCTAACCCTGATCCATTTCTTGATAGACTTCACAGGAAAACAGAGTTTCACAGAGGAATCCAAAGGAGGATAGGGAGATGGCTGCAGATCTTCCCACACATGAAGGTAGCCTGGGAGAAATGCAAAGCAAGTTAATATATGGACATTGAAAGCTAACACTATCTGATCAGACCTGCTTCTTCAAGCAAATGAGCAAAACCAGATAATAATACTTTAGATAATAAATAAAATAACATGGGTGAGTTCCATGTGCAGCAGTGTTTTTGAGCCTGAGGTCCTTAGGCCCAGAACAGTTTTAAATGAAAAGATATCACCAATCAAACTATGGAATAACTTGTTGGAAGTATGTCTAGGTGGATGTTGGGTATCTTGTGTTTAACATGCAAGTTTGAAAGGATTTATGTAGTACTTTATGTAAATACTACACCTTTACTTTATGGAAATGTCTTACTGATTGCTATGGACTTTTTTGAGATACATCCTGGAGATAACAATGCAGGTGTCTTTTATCATGTGCAAAGGATCTTGTCAAGGAATCTTCCATTTGTATCCTTCCATCCCTAGCTTGAAGCAGTGGTGTAGTGTTTGTAGTGTGTTTTTTCCTTGAGATAGAGTGTGAGAATGTGAGTTTATCATTCTTCAGTTCTTTACTTCCCAGCGCCTGTAAGAGTACTTAAGCTGACTATGAGAACTCCAGCACAAAATCTGCTAGAACGTTTTGGTGTTACATTACTAGCTCCTTAACAGGTCTTGTCTAATAAAGCAAGGCTGTCATGAAAATTTTCTTCCATAATAAGGCATGCTGGTTTGGAATGGCCATTCATCTGCCAGCATCAGCATCTGTCCTGCACTTACAAGGTTCTCTGTCTGCCTCATCTGTGACCAGTGGCAGGGAATCTTACCATCAACTTGAACTTTGGATCAGGCCCTGAATGAGTACCTCTGGATTTACTGAGGCCAACAAGTTTAGAAGTACCTGGTTACTTATTCATTAAATGGGATTTTTCATTGAGTGTTGGCATTAAGCCTTTTTTGTTTGTTTGTTTGAATTAAATTATTTCCCCCCTACCATGAGTGTTGTCACTGTATAAGCCAAAGGTTTTGCCAGAGTTCCTGCTCATGGAGGAAGAGACCTTTCCTGATGGCTCCTAGTGATGGTGCTTGACCCAGCTGAGAATAAAATGAGGTCTTGAAGTACACCTAACTTTTCTGTTCTAAGTCTATTGCTATCACATGCAGCATTGCCAGAGATTTGTGATGTCAAATATTTCCCCTGAATCTCTTCTTAAATTACACTGGCAGAGAATAGCATGGTTCATATAACTTAGTCATGGTGAATTTACTTGATTTACTCAGCTTTTAAGGTTATATATCTGAACAAAAGAAAATGTAAGAAAGATAATCAGTATCCAGTAGGCCCTAGTGGCCCATCCAAAGATTGTCAAATAGGACAGAGCTTGTTCTACAGGATTGTAAGGAAAGGGATGTATGGATTTTAAAAGATTACACATTTTCATTCACCAAGGCAAAGAAAATGAATGACTGTGGAGATTTAATCCTTGTACAATTCACCAAATAAAATCAAAAATTGTTTAAAAGCAGCTTACAAGACATACTATCAAGCACACAGTTAAAAACAGTGCTAATGAAATTACATCTTTTTTTGCAAGCAAAAAATAATTTATTTTGCTTTTTTGTGTATTAACAACTTCATCAATTATTATGGAGGTTTAAAACAAGACTGTGGAAGACTCAGGTAATATTCCCAGGTAGCACTAGTACCAGTACTAGTCCTTTCCTCTATCAAGTGCCCTGGTTATCAACTGAATAGAGTATTTGTTTCATCCAACACTTTTAATATTCCAATTTACAGTGGAAAAAAAATCTATTAAAACAGTTGAAATGAGAACCATTAGCAGTGACCAAAAGGTACAGCCAAAAAAAGCAGAAAACCATGTGCACCTTTGTGCCTATGTACACCTAAAGTGCCTGTTTTTAAAGCAGAAGTCAGAAGGCACAGCAGTGCAGTGGGGCAGTATCCTGTGTGTTTAAGCCATGGGATCCCAGCTGGAGAAACTTGGCAATTCACATGAGGAAGATGCTTGTGGGCTATGCAGTGGTGGTGGCATGGCTGCCTGTCACAGAACCATTAGGCTTGGAAGGGACCTTTGGAGATCATCTGGTCCAAAGCCCCTGCCAAGGCATGGTCTCCTAGAGCAGGTGAGGCAAGAACACATCTAGGTGGGGTTTGAATGTCTCCAGAGAGGGAGGGACACTCCATCATCTCCTGGGACAGCTTGTTCCACTGCTCTGCCACGCTCTCAGTGCGAAGTTCTTCCTCATGTAGAGATGAAACTTCTTGTGTTTCAGTTTATGGCCATTGTTCCTCATCCTGTCACTGTGAACCACCGAAAAGAGTCTGGAACCATCTTCTTACCACCTGCCTTTGAGATATTTATATGCATTAACAAGAACCCCTCTCAGTCTTCTCCAGACTAAACATTGCCCAGCACCCACAGCCTCCTCTATGAGACTCCAGACTCCCAATAATCTTTGTGGCCCTCCACTGAACCCTCTCTAGGAGCTCCTTGTCTTTCTTGTACAGAGGAGCCCAGAACTGGACACAGCACGGCAGATGTGGCCCAGCCGAGGAGGAGGATCACCTCTCTGGACCTGCTGGCCACACTCTGCTCTGCTAGGTCACGCATGCCTTCCTCCCCAGGTAACCCCGCGACGCCGGAGGCAACTTCTCCAGCCCCGCTACCGCATCTGGAAGCTCCCCCACAGTGACCACGGCGAGGAGCACCGTCGGGGCCTTCCTCCAAGTGACCCCACAAACTTCACGGCAGGGGAAGCTCCGTGGCCTCGCCTCAGCCCGCCGGCGGGCGGCAGGAGGAGCCCGAGCCCAAGCCCCGCGTTGGTGGAGGAGCGCGTAGGACAGGTGAGCGAGCCGGGGCGTGTGGCCAAGCCCGGGCGCTCTCCAGACCCAGGGCCAGCCCGGGCGGCTCCGGCCGTGAGTCAGAGCGCGGCGAGGGGAGGCGCGGCCGCCTCAGCGAGCGAGCAGCGAGAGCGGCTCCGCCGGGCGGAGGCGGGGGCAGCGTGTCCGGCCCAGACCCCTCCTCCCGCCTTCCTCCGCCCGCTCCCTCCTCCCTCCCTGCGCGGCTCTCCCGGGGACGCGGAGAGGCGCCGCCGGGCCCAGGGCCTGGACCGCACGGGTGCCCGCCCTCTCCCACCGCCGCTCCCACCGCCCGGCCGCGGGCTGGATGTAGCCGGGCGCCCCGCGGGGGCTGCAGCAGCAAGATGGCGGGTAGGCATCGCCCCCCTCCCCCTTCCCGCACACGCCGCCTCCCCGGCGAGGCGCCAGCCCTCCCTCCTCTATCCCCCCTCCTTCTCCTCTCCCCCGCCCCGGCTTCGGGAGCGCTGCCCGCCGCTGTCCGGGCTCGGAACGCAGGGGCTGCGGGGCGGGTCGCGTCGGGGGGGGGCGCAGCCCGCGGGCGGGGCAGGGTCACGCGTGGCACCGAGGGTCGGCGGGCGCATTGGCACATGGTGCGTGTGTGTGTGTCTCCCCCACCGCAGATCTGTCGCTGCTCCAGGAGGACCTGCAGGAGGAGATCGACGGATGTGAGTGGGGACGGGAGGGGAGCGGCGGGGCGGCTTTCGGGCGAGGAAGTGGCTTCCGCGGGGGAGCGCCCAGGGTGCATTGTGGGAGGCGGCGGGGAGGAGGAGGAGGAGGAGGAAGCCATGGCCATGCTCCGCGCTTCCCGGTGTCCATGACCCGGTCCCGGTCGCGCGTGGGGCTGCGCCGGGCGGTCCCGCGGGGTGCGTTGGGCGGCGGGCGGGGCGGGGGCGCCGTTAGCGGCCGCCCCGGAGGGAGCGAGGGAGGGGGGGAAGGAGGGATGGAGGCAGGGGAGGCTCTGCTTGCGGGGCGGCGTCCCCTCATGGCCCGGGCACGGCAGGGCGCCGGCGGGGAGGAGCAGGAGGAGGCTAGAGCTGCTGCATCTGCAGCAGCATGTGGGTTGCTCGTTCCTTTTATATCTCTGTATTTTGTATATGGTTTTTTTGCGTCCCCCATCCTTCCCCCCCTCCACCCCTCCCCCTCAGGCTCTCTCTTCCTTGTGGAGGGTCTGGAGCACATGTCCTGTGAGGAGCAGCTGTGGGAGCTGGGGATGTTTAGCCTGGAGAAAAGAGGCTCCAGGAGGGACCTTTCTGCTCTTTACAGCTGCCTGAGCGGAGCTTGTGGCCGGGTGGGGGTCGGTCTCTTCTCCCAGGCAACTAGCGATAGGAGAGAGGCCATGGCCTCAGGCTGCGCCAGGGGTTGCTCAGGCTGGACAGCAGGAGGGATTTGTTCTCAGAAAGGGTGCTTGGATATTGGAATTTACCGGCCAGGTGGTGGTGGAGTCAGGGTGCTTAGGTATTGGAATTGACTGGCCAGGAGGTGGTGGAGTCAGTGTCCCCGGAGGTGCTTAAGGAAAGTGGACGTGGCACTCAGTGGCATGGTGCAGTTGACAGGGTGGCATTTGGTCACAGGTTGGAGAGACGATCTCAGAAGTGTTTTCACACCTAACTGATTCTGTGAGTCCTGACCCCGCTGGAGAGATCTGTGCAGAAGAGTTGATGTCAGGGTGCAAAGTCGCAGAATTGTGGCTGGGGTGATGCAAAAATTACTAACTCAGGGCTGAGAAGCCTTAGCATGGCAGACTAGGATGTTACTCAGATGAGAACATGTCTGTTGATCGTGTCGATACTGAGGAGTTTCGTGGAAGCAGAGGAGGATGAATTTTGGGTGGAAAGTGAAAATGGAGGTAGAGGCAGGCGCCTGCCGTGGGTGTGCAGACCCCCCTGAAGGTGTTGTGTTGGCTGTGCAGTCTGCAGGATATCCTCTCACCAGGGCTGGAGTGCAGGAAAAAAAACCTTGTGTTTTGTGGCTTACATTTTTAGAGGAGAGCTATTTAAACTTTTCAGGATTCAACTGATACATCTTCTTTTTCACGTTTGTCAGCTGACATTTAGAAGGCTCCTATTGTGCTTTGCCTTGCACAAAGAGGGAGCCTTTCCCTCAGGCTTTTTTTTAAAATTCAGTGTGATAAGTCGCTGTTTGGAAACTCTGGGATTACAGAGGACTTTTTCAGAAGGGACACACTTAACAAAAAAATAAAGTGCATTCTTTAGTTTCCACTTAGAATATGGCTTTAGTTGACTGTAAGACAGGAATTGAAATTTTCTGTAGTCATTGGAGGGGTGACAGAAGCTGTGGGTTCCTGGTGCTGTCTTACTGTTATGGTCTTCAAAAATGAAAAAAAAAAATGCTTAGAGATATGACTCAGTCCAGATGAGAGCATCCTGAAGGCAGAAACCATAGAAATATAAAGATTTGAAACCTCATTAAAAATTACTGAGGTTTTGATGGAAGTAGATAAAAGCAAATGTCTCAATACTTATGCATGGTATTTTTGGAGGAAAAAAACAGGACTCTATGAATCAATATGTGCTGTTTGGATGTAGTTCAGTCACACAGTGGCTTTTATGGTTCTAAATTGTACATGATTTTGTTCTTGGGTGGTGTCTGTGTGCCAAAGAAAAATAATACAGATCAAGGAGACTGTACATATCTAGTCAAAAGTGCTGTTTCTTGTGCACTATTTACAACAGCTGTGTTTTGTACCCATGTACAACATGTCTTACACAATTATGGAAGTGTTTCCAATTGATTGGTTGCACGTAAGAAAGAGACAATTAAAAAAAATAAGACACAAAGTTGCAACTCCTGCCTGAACCCCACCCTACCCTATCCCTCTGTTGTAAATATTTCAAATGTTTGCAGCTCTTTCAAGTAGCAGAGTTAGACACTGGTTTAGAGGTGTATTACTGAAGTAGTAGAATGCAATAGTGATAAAACTGGAAAAGCTGGCAGCTTTTATGTCTGTGTGATTCTGCCAGCTGCATTCTTGCTAAAAGTGTGCTAAGCTATACTTCAAGACAAATAAGAGAGAAATACTTGCAGGCATACCTGTAGTCCTGGTTGTATAATTTAGGAGGAGGAATCAGCTGAATGTAAAATAGTCTGATTGATTGACTGGCCAGGTGAACTATGTTTTCAGTAAATTTTTTGGGCTTTTTACTGGTCTGATATCAAGCCATAGCAAGACATCTGTGAGGGTGTACTGGAGAAATCAGGAGTGTTTAAGTATGGATGCATGTGTCAAGGTCTGGTTTGGACATCTGAAGCTGAGTCTCTGATTGTGCATTTGGCTCAGGACGTTTCACTAGATTAGGTATTCATCTGTGGCTCATCAGTGAGCCTAGGTTTGAGTCTGAATCATGAACATTTTTTGTTGTTGTATTGTTTTGGGTTTTTTTCCCTTTGATAATGAGAATTTCCAGTGTGATTCAGTGTTTTCTCCTAAAGAAGGAAAATCATGAAGGTGACTTAAGAGCTACCTTTTGTTGGTCATGTTCTAAAGCAGTGGGAGAAAGTCCTGGAGCTGAGCAAACAGCCATGCACAGTTCCTGCTGAAAGTAATGAACCAAGCATCTGCACATCTTTTAGATAGACAGAGTGAAGAACAGCTGGTTTATGATCTTTGTCTTTTAAGGTTTCTGGAGTCAAGTGTTTTACTGGAAAGTTGGAGTTTAATCAACAACTTGTACAACTGTACAATTAGTTCTTCTCCTCATTCATTATGCCAACTTGTTGGCAGCTAATTAACCTGAAATATAGAAGAGTAAAATATTATCTCTTTGGAGTACTGTTTTAATGGCTGCTTGTGAAACAAAGTTTACCTTTTCTCTGAAGAAAACTTGATAAATATGTAGGTTAATGAAACATTCCAAGATTTCAACAGGGAGCAGTAAATCTGCTGTTGGAGTAGTGGGGACCTTCAGAATATATGCTGTGGAAGGCATCTATTAAAAAAAAACCAACCTTCCTTTTGTTGATTTGTTTAAGAGGTCAGAGATTAAACAAGAGCTTTTATAAGAAAGGCTTTCAGAGAGTGGTTGGTAAACCAGCTGGATTGACTTTTAAATAATTAATTTCGGCTTTGGTTTGCATTTCTATTTTGAAAGCTTCATATTATTTTTCTGCTCTTGGTTGCTTGGTAACCACTGGAAAGCTCTGATTTTTTTTTTCTTGAGGTGAATGCATACTTTACACCTGGTACATTAAACAGATGATTGCTTTAAGTAGTTACATAGCTTGCAAATGAAATGGCATTTCAGTATTTTGATTTTAGCTGATATTTCACTTCTGTAGATATAGCTCCTGATGTCAAAGGCTGTGATAATAATTGAAGAAATTCTGGTTCTTATGGAATTCTTTAGGCAGTGGCTTTTCCTTGTTTGTTTGTTTGAAGTAAAAGGAAAAATAACCCAAACCCAAGACAGTGAGTGTACCCTGGCTGAACATACTGAATGCTAGAAAAGAAAAATTAATTCCTAGATGTGAGTTGTTTTGTGAAAGACAATTAATTGACTCTAACCCCCCCAAATAAGGAACATAAAATTGCATTTCATTTATGTAAAGATAAAGCTAAGAAGAATCCATGTGTGATATTATCCATTAAAGGAAAAAAAGAATAAAGGCACCTCACTCTAAAGACAATAGAGTGAAAATTAAAAAATTCAAAGTGGAAGCCTGAGGAAGAATCTCCATCCCACTACTTGGATTGTTGATTTCCTGGCTCTTCTTTCTGAAATCTTGCACAGTACACAAAAAGTCAGGGAAAATTTGGCTTTTATTCAAATCTTTTGTTTTGTGCCTGCAAAATCAAAACAGAGTAGTATAACTGTCTAAGATAAGTACAGAAAAGAAAAGAAAATAGGCAGCAAAAATGGTTGAAAAGCGAACGTGGGCTTGGGGAAAATGAAGCGTTCTTTATGGCTCTTGCCAGACAGTTGGCGTTCCCCCTCCCCTGGCTGTTTCTGAAGGCTGAGCTGATCAGTCCAGATAGATGAAATGAAATGTACCATGATGCTGACGTCTTTCAGTCTGACCATTGATGTGTGCAGGATGTGTGCTCTGAAAAATAGAGCCATCTGCAATTAGAATTCAGATTTGGGAAGGGGATAGCTTTATTCTACTCAGTATTTTAATTGTGATTTAAATCAGGAGAGAAAAGAAATTTTGATCTGATAACTGGTTTTAATATTGTTTTACATTTGTTTTTGGAAAAAGTCTTTGTTAGTGGTAGCTGATAGCTGTATTTGCATGCAATGTCAGGACTTCTGGTAGTTGCAAGTATATGTGCATGCTTTGGTGGTTATGTAGCTTACTCAGATTCTGAAACTTTAGCTTTTGTCATGCTGACAAAGGTGAATTTCCTTTTTCTGTACCCTTAGTTTCCAGATGTTTTAACTAAAAATGCAGAAGATGGAGTTTTAATATCTACACATTGTTTAGACAGTTCTAGTTTAGAACTATTAAAAATGGGTTTTTACATATATATATATATATATACATATACATATACAAACTCTTATGTGTAGACTTGTTTTCTGTAGTGCTTATTGCTTTATTTCTTTAGCAGTAAGGTAGTTCTTGCAGTTGGCAAATCTAATGTTACTGTTTGGATTTTACTAGTGGATGAAACAGTTCTAAAAACTAAAAACAGAGTAGTGATGATCCAACATAGCTCTATTTTT